CAGGGTGGCCGGGCGCACCCTTAGAGATAGGGTGAGGAGCTCGGTCACCCGGGAGGAGCTCAGAGTAGAACCGCTGCTCCTCCACATCGAGAGGAGCCAGCTGAGGTGGCTCGGGCATCTGTTTCGGATGCCTCCTGGGCGCCTTCCTAGGGAGGTGTTCCGGGCATGTCCCACCGGGAGGAGGCCCCGGGGAAGACCCAGGACACGCTGGAGGGACTATGTCTCTCGGCTGGCCTGGGAACGCCGCGGCATTCCCCCGGAGGAGCTGGAGGAAGTGTCTGGAGAGAGGGAAGTCTGGGCATCTCTGCTTAGACTGCTGCCCCCGCGACCCGGTCCCAGATAAACGGAAGAAAATGGATGGATGGATGGACGACGAAGCCGGTTCATTGGGCTCTTGCACAAAAGCTGCATCAATAAAAAGAGAAACAGGCAATTATGAGAATATTTAATTCAGTGGGATCACAGTGTATATGACAGAAACACATTTACAAACCTCAGTGAGCAGTAACAGCAGAGCAGAGCTGAGGGTGTTGGGTAAGACGTAAGGAAAATCTCTGACCTTCTTCAACATGGTACAGTGGTCTGTCTCTGCAGGTACTGGAAACTAAGTGCAAAAACAAATGATCAGACAAGTGTATGAATTATCTCAATACCACACTTATAGCTGATATTCAGTTTCGTGTCCTCACCTCTCCTGTCACCAATGCAAACAGCATAATTCCAAGAGACCACCAGTCAGCAGTGTGGACCCCCGCTTAAAACTTCTGGAGCTGCTCAGACAGAACAGGGAAAAATCTCAAAATGATAGAGACAGCAGAAAATTAAAAACACATCAAAGCCTGCAGAACTGGAAAGTGAAAAGAAGAACATAAATGTTTGGAGAAAAAGCCTAAGTTCATAAAACAAACAGGATGTGGGTCACTTTAATATTCATGTAAATGTTGACAGCGACAGCCTCAACAGTGCATTTAATTCATTATTAGACTGAAGTGGCTTTTCTCAAACTGTATCCCAGAGTTGAGACCGGGATGCAGGGTTGCAGTCTTAAATGTCTCTCTGCTACTCACCCAAAGCTCCCAGTACCCCGTGTCTGCCCCCGAACCAAACTAAAGTCATTGTATTTGGGCCTGAAAACCTTAGAAATCTGCTGTCTAATCATATAGTTACTTTAGATGACATAGCTCTTGCCTCCAGTACTACTGTGAGGAACCTTGGAGTCATCTTTGATCAGAATATGTCCTTTAAATCACACATAAACCAAGTCTCTAGATCTGCCTTCTTCCACCTGCGCAATATTGCAAAAATCAGGAGCATCCTGTCTCAAAGTGATGCTGAAAAACTGGTCCATGCATTTGTTACTTCCAGGCTGGACTACTGTAACTCTTTACTATCAGGATGTCCCAATAATTCCCTAAAAAGCCTCCAGCTAATCCAAAATGCTGCAGCCAGAGTACTGACAGGAACTAGCAAGAGAGATCATATCTCTCCCATATTAGCTTCTCTCCACTGGCACCCTGTAAAATTCAGAATAGAATTTAAAATCCTTCTCCTAACATACAAAGCCCTTAATAACAAGGCTCCAT